ACTAAGGGTAATTTTATTGTATTACAACTATTGTGTAGTTTCACCACGGAGGCAATAAAAACTGCTTCGGTAAAACACGATTCGGACAGTTTATTTTTTTCTCCCGTTCGTACGCTAATCCCGGGAAAAGTCGCGGGACGATATCGAACGAACACACATTCTGTCCTCTTTACGCTTGGATTCTCTGCTATTGATGACTATTTCTTCAAAACAGTCGCGATTAAATCGTCATAGCGATAAGACGTGTTTACGCAAAGTGTCAAACTATCTCTGTGTTACGTGTTTAAGTTACTTCGAGTGCGAGTGCGAGTTCGAAGAGAGTAAATTTGCCTATTGGCAAGTTTAGATTCCCAACGGCACAAATGACTAATTTCCGATTAAAAATCGCTAAAGATGGAGAAAACTACACTGTTGCCAAACATCAAGCCAATAAAAATAAAAGTAATAATTCCATCTCAAACTTAATGGATATCGATAAACCGTCGAGTAGTGGTTTAAATCAAGCTGCACCCAAGAAACGAAAAACTAATCCACCTTCAAATCCTATGATTAGCGACGCAGAACCACTTTATGATAAATGGTTAACAGACATAACTATTGAAAACCCTTACAATATACTATCAGAAATCACAGACGAACCAATAGAAAACACCGCGACAGAAACAACTCAACCTCAACCAAAACCTCCACCAATATACGTCGAGGCTCAAATTATTGAACCTCTTATGGAACTTCTCAAAGAAACTGCAAATGAAAACTTCACGCTAAAACAGTTAAAAGATAACCACGTCAAAGTTCAAGCCAACTCCCCCGAAATCTACAGCAAAGTTGTTATAGCCCGGAAAGAGAAAAATGCGAATTTTCATACGTATCAACTAAAGAAAGACAAAAGTTACAAGGTAGTACTAAGAGGAATGCACCCTAAAACAAATCCAAGTACAATTACTAGCGAATTAAAAAAATTCAGCCACCAGGTAAGACGGATAAATAATATAATAAAACACGACACAAAGCAACCGCTACCACTTTTCTTCATAGAACTCGAACCGAGCGATAAAAATAAAGAAATTTTTAAGATCGATAGACTACTGAACACTATAGTATCTTTTGAACCTCCAAGAACTAAAAGAGACATCCCACAATGTTCACGTTGCCAAGCCTACGGTCATACCAGAAACTATTGCAATAGAATTCCCGCGTGTGTTAAATGTGCAGGTAAACACTGGACTTCGCATTGTCCTATCGTAGGAAAAATAGATAACGTAAAATGTTATAATTGCCAGGGAAATCATCCTGCTAGCTATAAAGGTTGTATAATACGTAAACAATTACAGCAAAAATTATATCCTAAACTTAAACAGAAAATAGTTACGGTAAATTCAAACCTTCAAAACCAAACTGTCACAGTGAACGCTAACAACAACAACACTATCACGACCCAGCAGTCTTCTATACATACAAAAACCTATGCTCAAGCAACTCGAAATCAGGAAATTCTAAACGAATCGTTTCCCACTTTACAAAACCACGAATCAGCATCAGACTCAACAGAAATTAAACACCTGCTAATAAACTCAATTAAAAATACAGAACTAATAACAAATATGCTCATTGAACAAACTAAATTGTTAAGTCAACAGTCGCAACAAATTAACACAATGATAGAACTTATCACACGCATGCTTAACAATATTAACAAATAAAATGGATACTACATTAAACATTGCAATTTGGAACGCAAATGGGCTACAACAAAGATTACAAGAATTAAAAATCTTTCTACAAGTTAATAAAATTGATGTAATACTCATTGCAGAAACACATCTTACTACTAAGAATTACGTTAAAATTCCATCTTATAATATCTACGATGCTAAACACCCATCCGGCAAAGCAAAGTGGATCAGCTATAGTTATTAAGCAAGATATTAAACACTTTCTTCATCAAAATACCACTGACACGCATATACAAGCTACTGCTGTCACTATTAGCACAGTTCATGGAAATATTACGCTAGCTGCAGTTTACTGTCCTCCAAAACACAAAATATCAGTACAGCAATATTCAAATTTTTTTCAAACATTAGGGAGCAAATTTATTGCCGGCGGAGACTATAACGCGAAACATGTTTTATGGGGCTCTAGAATAAATTCACCTCAAGGTAAAATCCTAGAACAAACAATAAGGATACTATCATTAGACACACTGACCACTGGCGAACCTACATACTGGCCGTCAGCCTACGACAAAACTCCCAACCTATTAGACTTCGCAATAACCAAAGGATTAAACAAATTGCATTTTAAAATTAAATCTTGCTTAGATCTTAGTTCTGATCATTCTCCGATTTTAATAAACTATCTATATAAATCTATCCTCACAAAAACAACGCCATATTTGCATAATCGTAACACAGATTGGAATACATTTAAACAATCCCTGGAAGAAAACATAAATTGCAATGTACCTTTAAGAACTCCTGAACAAATAGAATCAGCAGTAATAGATCTCACCGACAAAATTTAAAATGCAGGATATATCACATATCCAGAATACATAATGTGTTACGTATACAGAAACTCGCTGTTTGTTCCCGAAGCTCGCGGTCATCAATTTTATTTTATCTACCCTCCTGGAATTTGGAGCTCGGTCTCCCTGGAGTGCATCCTGCAGCTGCATACTCTTAACATCATCTTCGACTTGCGTTGCGTGGGAAGACTTCTTATCTACCCTTTCCCAGGGAACGCAGCTGCTCACCTCAAAGACACGAAAATCCTAACCGTCAGATTTCCAAATATGGAAATCACCGACGGATCCCCACTAACATTTAGGGGTATATAAACCCACGATTTTTGTTGCTCGGGGGCTAGTACGAAAGAGTTACTCGTTAGAGACACATTGATCGTCTGCAGAGTAGTACTCTAGTGAGATCGGGCTTCAGTTCCTTTCGCTCATCGTTACCATATAGATCCGCGAAGACGGTTTTAAAATCTATTACGGCCATAAAAGTACTCTCGACCCCCGCATCACCAGTGCGTCGACACCGCGCAACACTTAGGTAATTTTAACTTCATACACTAACCGCGACAACACGACACTGGACACTTGTAATTAGTATAGTTATTTTGAATATATACTCTTTGTGTAAACTTAAAAGTCTGTAAGATCAATCATCAAACCTTTACTTTGAAATCACCAATCCTAGCCAGTGTAACGATCCCACAACATAATAACTTTACCGCTCGAGTTATTATTCTATTAAATTAACAAGTTGCGAGGCTTTATCCGCGACGCGTAGTATTCATTACCGATACGATTTAGTCATTGTGTACTCAACCCGAACTCCTAAACTTAACCTATCCTGCGGTTACCCTTTACTGGGAGATACCAATTCCCAGCAGCTACCTGACTTCGCGTCAAAGACGGCTGCGTTTGTCTCCAATAACCAAGATAACCAAACACCTTAACCTACGGTTACCCTTCACTGGGAGATACCGATTCCTGTAGCTATCTGACTTCGCGTCAGAGTCGTCTGCATTGTCTAATGTATCCTCAGCCTTCGGCACCATTGATACACAATAATTAATCGTATTGGTTCAATTCTCAAATCTATCCCACTCGCTGGGCTCACACGCGCGTCGCTATCGCCCTGGCTCGTAACAAATGAAACAAATAAAACTTAAACGAAAATTAAAATACATATGGCTAAAACAAAAAACTCCGTATAACAAAAAAAAAAAACTAAACCAAATCACGAAAGAAGTGAAGCAATTAATTCAAAATTACTGTAACGAAGAGTTTTATTCTTACATTTCAAACCTCTCTCCTAATGACGACACCAACTACTCACTATGAAAAGCTTGCAAAAGACTAAAGAGGCCAGTGGTCTCTTTACCGCCTACTAAAAAAGCAGACTCTAGTTGGGCAAAAAGCACACTCGAAAAAGCCACCACTTTTGCCGAACATTTACAAAATACATTTAAACCAAATATTTCAAATACCTCTATCATAAGTTCAAATATAACTCCATTCGTCGTGTTTGACACTAATCTCAATCAAGATATAACAAAAACCACAGTAAACGAAGTAAAAAAACTAATTGCAGATATCAAAATTAAAAAGACTCCTGGTTTTGATTTAATCAGTGGAAAAATAATGAAGGAACTCCCATCAAAAGCAGTAAGAATGCTTACCATAATCTTTAATGCGGTACTAATCAAGTATTTCCCTATCAACTGGAAATTAGCACAAGTAATTATGTTGCCTAAACCCGGAAAAGAACCACATCTACCAACGTCCTACAGGCCAATCTCGCTACTTCCCGTAATGTTCAAGTTACTAGAAAAAGTAATTTTAACCAGGCTCAAAAAGATAATTACGGATAAAAATTTAATACCGCTACATCAATTTGGTTTTAGAAACAAACATGCTACAATAGAACAAGTGCATAGACTGACAAACCAAATTACTCTTACCTTTGAAGAAAAAAACATTGTACTGCTCTCTTTTTGGACATAGAGAAAACATTTGATAAAGTGTGGCACGAGGGACTTTTATATAAAATCAAACAAAACTTTCCCATATTATTTTATGAGCTCATCAAATCATATCTAGAAAAGAGAACATTTTTTGTTAAAATTCAGGATTCCACTTCGGATATCTGCACTATTGAAGCAGGAGTCCTCCAGGGCAGTATCTTGGGGCCTATTCTATATACATTATACACTGCCGATATTCCTACTACACAAGAAACCAGGCTATTTACATTTGCCGATGATACAGCTATTTTAGCCACACAACAAGACTCCAAAAGATTGTTAACTGGGTGTTAACAATTAAATTAAACATTAAAGTTAAAATTTATAGTAAAAATTAAAATTAGAATTTTTGTGATATAAATTGTGTTAATATACCTAGATATGAATATCATATAAGCATATAAACTATTTGTACAGTTAGTAGTAACTTAATTACCTTTTGATTAGTGTCGCTTACTTTTCCTTATACACGATTAATGTAGGGTTAAATGGTTATTTTTTTGAATATAAAACTTAAAAGTAAGGTTACATAAGATAATGGGGAATATTTAAAGGGGTGTAGTGCTTCTACGCGTTCTTTGTCGTGATTGGACTCGAACTACGGGGAGAGTTTCTTCATCTTCAGATATCTCAGGTATTGGATTGGCAACCGTCGCTCGATTCCGTCTTGGTTGATAGGTGACTACCTCGTTGATCACTGTTGTAGGTGGACTCGAAGACGATGACGATGACGAGTCGAAGATACAGTTGACGAAATTTTGTATTAACGGTGAGTTGATCTCTCCATGCCTCGGATCCGTGGTCGAACAGCATAGTCGTTGTAACCAGTGGAGGCATCCGAAATTTTTACAGCATTTTAGAAGTATAAATAACACCAATAGTGCTGAGATTATTCCAAGGGCAATTGTGTACCACTTAGCGTGTGTAACGATGAATGGTTTGTTTATTTGTTTGGTAATAATTTCATCAAATTCGCCTAATTTTTTATCGGCATATTTGAGTTCCATGAGGTCGATGTTTGTTAGATGTATCGGTTTTAAAATGGTCGATTCGATGGCATCTAAGTGAGGTGTTAAGATGCAACAGTCGTCACTTTGGATATCCAGGCGTGGCATATAATAGGTTGCATTTTTGCTGACTTCATGTGTGGCTGCAATCACGAACAGGTTGGTGTATCCCTTGCAATGGGGTTGAAGATGTATGATTCCGCTTTTTTGAAGAATCACATATTTCATGTGATTCTGATTTCCTTCACACATGACGGTTAGAGTAGTTGGCTCGTGGAGGACGTAGATCCATTGGTTTTTTGCAACATAGTTCCATGTCTCTATCGTTGTTTTGATGGTTTTCATTGTGCAGGTAGGAGGAATCTTCTTAATGTGAGGAGATAACAGCTCGATTTCGCAAACTGGTTGGTTTGTTGAAGCTGTGGTGTGCAGGTGATAGCATACATACTCCTCATCTCGATATTCGTTGCAATCAGACAATTCCTTAAGGAAGGTAAATTAGGATTTAGTCTGGGATAGAAGGAGATAACGATTCTGAGGAATAATATAAGATGAGATTTTTGAATCGTTATGTTGTATTGGGAGTGGAATGAGTTCAAAGATATCAAATTTCGTTCGAATAACTAAGGGAATTTGAAGTGCAAATATTATATTATCATTTGTGGCAATAACGTGAAGTTGAATAAATTTGTAAAAAATATGTATATTTTCCAAATTTGGTTTCATAACTAGTTCCTGCTCATTTTTAAAATTTTTCAGTTCTTCATACAACATCTTAGGAGTAATGATGAATGGAGAAACAATGTTATGTTCAGCAAGATTAATAGCTTCTATGTATTTTGAGAACTCTCGATTAACTTGGCTCACTAACATACTTAAAGTGGTAATTTGTTGGTTTACCGTAGATTCCATTTCCTAACGTGAAATGTAAGAATTAGTTTGGATAATAAATGAATTGATTTTTTCTATATTTTCATTCATTGCCTTCTCTTGACTTTGAAGCGAGTAAAGGGAGCTATTGAAGTTCCTAATAGTATTAGCAATCACTTGAACTTGTGATTAGAGCAAAGCTTGCGTTTGTCTGTCATTATTTACTAATGTTTTGATACTATCCTCGTAAAATTGAGCATCTTCAGCATCGGGAGTGCCAAAGGCCCATTTTAATAAATATGACATACTATTTAAAAGGCCGCGTTTTTTTCTAATAACTAATTTCTCGGTCAGCTGTTGGAGAATTTCACGTTTTGAACTAATTTCTGATAGTTCAGCTTCGATTACTTGGATAGTACGTTCACAATGAAAACTAGTGTGACCTTTCCGATTTGGATCTTCTAATGTCGCATTGCAAATTCCTTTGCTTTTAATGAAATAATTATTAATAATTGTAAGCGTATTACTTAAGTGAGTTTCATTCATGTATGAAAGGAGTGTAAGTTTTGAATTCGCGATTTGTGTCGTTCCTTTTTTGTTATAAAGGATTCCGCTTGATTTCTCGAAAGTCGGTGAGAGAAAAAATGACTGCTGGCTAGGAGCGGAAGCAGAAGGGAGATTAGGAATGTCTGATTCATCTGAAAAGTACGGTTTGAGTAGGTTAGTATGATATTTAATTAATTTTCGGCCAATTTGAATTTCAACAGTTTGATTAGGAAATATTCGAATGACTTTATAAGGTCCTTTAGCATTGCTTGTTAGTTTCTTAGATAGTCCCGACGAAATTTGTTTATTCTCGATTGTAACAAGATCGTTGACTTTAAATTTTATTGTTGATTTGATCTGTATTTCATCTCGGTCCTTGGGAACGATTTTCTTTGTATTCAGAAATTTAATATTAGTAGAGGGAAAAATGAATTTAACCATTTCATTAAAAATTTCAGGTTTGATACTGTTTTGTTTCTTAGGTGGAACTAAAATGAGATCTTCTGGTCTCATAGTATCTTGGAGGGTCGCAAAACTTTGAAATAAATTACGATAATCGATCTTGTCATGATGTAGGTTTTTGGGAAATAAAATTAATAGAGTTTGGTTGTTATTTTGCAATTTATACAATCCATTGGGGCTTGATGTTAATCCAGTTGTGTCAAAATTTTGAGTTACGTAGTCTGAATACTGATTTTCTTTATCTAAATCTTCTGGCCATAAGAGTACTACTGTACCTCTTAAATTTGGGAGAGGTGTCTCCTCTTTTGGGAATTCAATTACGTCCCTGTTTATGTAGTGGAATTTCGTATAGTCTTGATACGATTTACTGGGGTTGTGTGCGTGGAGTATGGATTTGGAGTTTCCTTTGTGATCAGGATGAAGTCGTGATAAACTGTCTGCGTTAGAGTTTACTCTTCCAGGTTTATATTTGATTACGTACTTGTATTCATTAAGGCGCAAACGCCATCGGACGAGTTTTGAAGAAGGGTTTTTACAACTAAAAAGCCATTGAAGGGGCTGATGATCTGAATAGATCGTAAATTCTCTGCCATAGAGATAAGGTCGAAAATGTTCGACTGTATTTATGATGGCTAATAACTCCTTCTCAGTAGTGGAATAATTTTGTTCGGAGCTATTTAGGGTTCTTGAATAGTAAGCTATGATGGGTAGATCCTTATTACTTTTTATTTGTGAGAGAACGCCGCCAATGCCTACATTAGAAGCATCGCATGTGACGACAAATCGCTGGGAAAAATCAGGATACTGTACTAAGGGTTCAGTTGTCAGCATCGATTTTAATGTCTCGAACGCGTGCTGCTGCTCTTGTGACCAAATAAATTCGGTGTCGTTTTTTAATAATGACGTGATTGGTTTCGCGATTGTCGAAAAGTTCGGGATAAATTTCCGATAATACCCTGCCATCCCAAGAAAATGTTTTTATTTGTTTTAATGTTTTTGGAGGTTCCATTTTTTTTATACATTCAATTTTATTAGGGTTTGGTCTCATTCCATCTTTAGAAATTACATGTCCGAGGTATTGACAAGATTCGCGTAAAAATTCGCATTGATCTGGCTGAAGTTTGAGGTTATATTCGCGAAATCTACTAAAGACGTTACGTAATTTTGCATTGTGGTTGTTGAGGCTAGATCCATAGATAACTACATCGTCGAGATAGACGAAATATTGTTTGAAGTTAAGCCCGGTCAGAATGTTGTTCATCATTCGTTGAAAAACAAAGGGAACATTTTTAAGACCGAAGGGTATTCGTGTATATTCAAAATGACCTTCTGGAATAGAAAAGGCAGTTTTTAGAGCGTCGTCTGGATGTATGGAAATCTGATGAAAACTATTTACTAAATCTAATGTGGTAAAATACTGGGCGTGTTCCAGCTGGTCTAGAATATCCTCTATGTGTAGAAGAGGGTAAGCATCTCCGATAGTTTTTTCATTGAGTTTCCTATAATCAATGACGATACGCCAATTTTGTTTACCAGAAGCGTCCGCTTTCTTAGGTACGACCCAGAGCGGGCTTGACCATGGACTAGTAGAAGGTTTGATAATTCCATGTGCTAGCATTTTCTCGATTTGTTTGGATACCTCGTCTTTATGTATTTCGGAGTGCCTATAAGGTTTAACTTGAATGGGAATATCATCCATCGTTGGAATTTTATTGATAGCTGCTGAGGTTGTAGTTAATACGTTATCGGGTCGGTGGAAAATATCCTCAAATTCATGACATAATTTAATTATTGAATTTTTCTCTTCTGAATTCAAATGGCTGACACGTATATTCTCATTTAGTAATTTAAGCCTTTCGGTTATGTCTTTTGGATCGACGGAAAAATAAAAAATATGAGCTTGTTCGGAAGGACGTAAGAGTGGTAATTTGGGTTTGGTGAATGTCTTCCTTTCTAAAGATCGATTAATAATTGTAATTAAGGCTTCGTCCTTGTTTATTACTTTTACTAATGTGCTTCTTTTAGATTGAGGAGGTTTTCAACCGTTACCTTGGTTACCATTTCTGATCACGGATTAACTGATATTGACAACGAGTCTGATTGTTGACTCATACTTCGTTGTAGAGGGATTGAGAATGGAATCGATTTGATCGAAATAGATGATTTTTGGAAGTCGATTTTACAATTTTGCGTATCAAAAAAAGTCTTGTCCTAAAAGATCATCAAAAGGAATACCCGTGTTAGAGTTCAGAATTTGGAATTTACAATTAAACAAATACTTACGGACCGATAATTTTAGTTCCGTTTCTCCTACAGTTGCGATTGGTGTTGTGCAAAATAGATTGGTCCTCACTTGCATGATTTGTTCTACTACAATAAATGCATTATGCGAAATTTTCATAACGAATTCAAAGAGCTTTTTCTTCCGTTGAGGCGGCTGTAAAGGCCTGATTAATTGTTTGAAACTCTCTATACCAAAGCATTTGTGAGATCTGAGGGTGTGAATGGTAAATGAATCGGTTGAGGGTCATTTTAATTACCATTGCGATACTGCCAGGTAAAAGACTTTCGTCTTGTTCTGACGCGTGAACAGCTGCGAGGATTCGAGACGAAAGGTCTTCCATCCTTTGACAAAATTGCGATATGTTTTCGGTTTTCTTTTGAACAATAGAATTTAATTCTTCGAACAACTGGTCGAGAGATTTTTTATCTTGATAATGATTTAAAAGAAGGTCAGAAACTTCGTCCCAAGTCGTAAGATTGTGTTACGTATACAGAAACTCTCCGTTTTTTAGAAGCTCGCGTTCATTAATCTTTTTATCTACCCTTCTGGAATTTGGAGCTTGGTCTCACGGGAGTGCATCCTGCAGCTGCATACTCTTAATATCATCTTTGACTCGCGTTGCGTGGGATAGTTTCTAATCTACCCTTTTTCCAGTGAACGCAGCTGCTCACCTCAGAGCCACGAAAATCCTAACCGTCAAATTTCCTAATATGGAAATCACTGACGGTTCCCCACCAACATTTAGGGGTATATAAACCCATGATTTTCGTTGCTCGGGGGCTAGTACGAAAGAGTTACTCGTTAGAGACACGTTGATCGTCTGCAGAGTAGTACTCTAGTGAGATCGGGCTTCAGTTTCCCTTTCGATCATAGTTAACCTTATAGATCCGCGAAGACGGGTTTCATCTATTACGGCATTTAAAAGTACTCTCGACCCCCGCATCGCCCGCAGTGCGTCAACACCGAGCAACATTTACGTAATTTTAACTTCATACACTAACCGCGACAACACGACACTAGACATTTGTAATTAGTATAGTTATTTTGAATATATACTTTTTGGTAAACCTTAGAAGTCTGTAAAATCAATCATTAAACCTTTACTTTGGAATCACCAATCCTAGCCAGTGTAACGATCCCACAACATAATAACTTTACCGCTCGAGTTATTATTCTATTAAATTAACAAGTTGCGAGGCTTTATTAACGACGCGTATTATTCATACGATTCAGTCCTTGTGTACTCAAACCGAACTCCTAAACTTAACCTATCCTACGGTTACCCTTTACTGGGAGATACCGATTCCTTGCAGCTATCTGACTTCGCGTCAGAGTCGTCTGCATTTTTTCCAACAACCTCACAGTTCGAACCTTACCCTACGGTTACCCTTTACTGGGAGATACCAATTCCCAGCAGCTACCTGACTTCGCGTCAGAGTCGTCTGCGTTTGTCTCCAATAACCAAGACAACCAAACACCTTAACCTACGGTTACTCTTCACTGGGAGATACCGATTCCTGCAGCTATCTGACTTCGCGTCAGAGTCGTCTGCATTATCTAATCTATCCTAAAATCTTCGGCACCATTGATACATAATAAATAATCGTATTGGTTCAATTCTCAAATCTATCCCACTCGCTGGGCTCACACGCGCGTCACTATCGCCCTGGCTCGTAACAATTGCAATGAATGTCTATTTGTTCTCGTGCTTTACCGGTAATACGGCTTTTCACGTAAAGTAATAAAGCGGGTTTTTGGATGTCCGCGGCTAATTCAAAGACTCCGTCAACTTGGTTTACAAAGCTACGGATTTGGTATCGATCGCCATCAAATTTTTCTGGGATTAATTTAACTAAAAATGAGAGCTCGTATATAATTACTGACGCTTCATCTTCAGTAGACATGATTGCGTCTGTTTTTAGGAAAAAAGGGAAATAGAAAGGAAAGAATTGTCTATAAAGACGAATATCTATTGAGCAGTACTTACTACGGAAGTTTTTCCTCTGCAATCGGTGCTGGAGTTGCTAGGTCCAGTATTTTCCAACCAAATACCTGGGTCTTCCTCTGGTACGTCGTTTCCTTGTACTTCGTCTCGTTCGGTGTCCACGTTCTCAGCAACTGTGTTGCCACTCGTCCACAGGGTTGTGTTGCTGCTTCCACTTATGTTCACTGTGTGTAGAGTGCTGGACATCTCATCCTCGTCGCCAAAATTATGTTGTCTTCCGCTTGATCTGTACTTTATTATTATTCGACAAGTACAATCGTCGAGCGAAATTTAAACGAAGTTAATATAGGTAAACGCGTGGTACTGGCTATAGGTTCTCGTGTCGGAACGGTTCGGACAATTCTCTGATGAAAAAGGGAAAAGTGGTAGGCTTTATAGATTTGGGAAAGATAGAAAATATAGGATAGAAGTATAGGATAGAAAGTATAGGAATTATCTTGAGTTTAGTGGTCGGCAAAGGAGAGGTAGCGAGGTCGAAGTTCGGGATGACTAATCAGGATGAAATCATGAGTTACCGGAGGAAGAAATTTCGAATGTTTGTTGGAGTTAAACGGAGGATCAGGAGAAGACAGTTATCTTAATTAAAAGTAATACAAATACTATGTTGGCATACAACATATGTTACACGTTAAAAAATTAATTTCAACCTTAAAGTATGCGTAAGGTAATATATAATATGCAGTATATAGTACATGATATTCAAAAAGTATATTTCTGATAGAAAATTGAAATTAAAAAAAAATACATCAATCGGGATTCGTACCCGGGGTCAAGCAGCGTTACAATCTAATATTCTACTAATGCATTCAACGAACATTGCTAGATGCTTTTATTGTACATCAAAAACAAACACCCGTTTTGAAAAAAGTCAAAATGGTTTTGCAATACTACATGCATACTACGACCCCCATAGGGTGTCGTTGCAAAAGCGATTGCAACATCCGTGCCTTCCCTTTGTTAGTGTGCTTTTTCTTATGTAATTACGTATATTCAAAAATAATGTTCATAAACGTTTTACCTTTTTTATTATACAATATTTTTTACATTGCATACTATCATTACATTCCACAAATAACAATTAGTACTTTATTATTTTCGTACCATATTATAAATATCATATCAGTTTTTTATTATTTACTACTTTAAAATTATCGTAACAGACTATTCTGTATCAATTAATTGCAATGCAATATAAACAGCCTTAACATATACATGACGTTTTTTAATAATATAATATTGAATATATATACATATGCAAAAGTAAAATATATAAGCTCGGGCACTTTATACTCTTAGTACGGTACTGAACCATGCTGAAAGGCGTTTTTAAATTATTGCCACACCAGCAGCAGGAGAGACGATACCAGCGCTGTGGTGTGCTGTGGTGGAGAGCGTGAAACTCAAGCCATTGTGCAAGCGCATCAGTCTTCTCGATTTCATAACGACAACACCATTGTAATTTTATGAGGCGAGGAAGCGTCCTTTCCGGGTGATTTTTTTTTTAAATTGTTCCTTATAAAATTCCGTTGTGGGGGATAGTTACACATTTTGTAATTTCGATTTTAAAACGTGCTAAAAATACGTTGAAAGGCAATAAAATTTTTTTTTTTCAATTTTTTCCAAAAAACGCTTGACGAAACGATAGATTTGCTTCCCCTGATTACGAAATGCATAATTATTATATGTTTTTTCATTATTGTGCCTGAAAAACGGGAAAAACTATCTAGTAGTTCACCTACTTTCCGTTGATGGCGCCAGTTTGTCTCCTGCGCACCCTTAATAGATTATGTCTATCTAGGAAGAACATTTCTATCATATTAATTGGGACTGCTTTGTCATTTATTAATTTACCTGTTTCATTGTCCAGTTTCCACTTCTTATTACTTGATTCCCCTGTAATTGTGGTTCCGTTTCTCAGATTGTTCCATTTTATTAGACCCTCGGAAATAAATTCCCTGGTGAATATTTGATCCTTCCATTTCCATATATCGTAGAATGCACATTCCGATATGTTTGGCCTGGTGTGGATTTTGTTGGTCGTGTGTGTTTCGTTGATTTGTTTATTTTGTTCTTTGATTTTCATAAATAATTGTAGCGTGGGGTTGCTCTCTTTACCTTTTTCGAATTGACGTACCCAGTACTTGTTGGCCAGAAAAATGGCTCTGTCTAGTAGTGTAGTCCAACCACACTTCATGTAGATCACATTAAGTGGAGAAGATATTCTGTATCCTATTGCTGACCCTTAAGGCTGCCGTTTTCGTTTTTCTTAAAGTGTCTTGTATATTTTTTTGTCCATCAAAAGTTAGGTACACCGGCGAGGCGTACTCCACAACCGATGATATCAGTGCTCTCGTAAACATCAACGCATGGCTCTGATTAGCCCCCTTATTACCATGGTAGAGAAACCTTATTATATTGGCTCTTCTTTTGAACTTTTCTACCATTTCCTTAATGTGTGGTTTGAAACTAAGTTGATTATCTATCGTGATTCCTAAAAATTTTGCTTGGTTGACGATTTCGTAATGATTTTTAGTACCTTTATTGATTTCTCTTGAGGTTGTTGTCCAAAACAGGTGATTTTGGTTTTATCTACTGATATTTCTAGATCCCTGCTTTTTAGAAAGGTATTTAGTTGTTGAATGATTTTCTTTATCTTACTCTTAGTTTCCTTTATGTCCTTGTCCTTTGTTATAATTCCTATATCATCCGCGTGAATTAATGTTTGTGTATTCTGGACTGTTAATTCTTTGGATAAACCTGCAATATATAGATTAAACAGGGTCGGGCTGATGATTGCCCCCTGAGGGACCCCTATTTTCCATGGGATTGTTGTATCATTCCCATTACTGTCCCTTATTTGAACATACCTGTCTTTTAGCCAGTTGCTCACCCATCCTAATATCCTCGGTGGGCATTTCTTCTCCATTAGTATTTGTATGAACTTGTCAAAGTTGACATTGTCATACGCCCCTTTTATGTCTATGTAAGCCGTTGCTGTGGTATTATTTTTTCTGCTGTTATCTTTTATTTCCATAACTATTCTATTTAGATTATCAACTGTTCCTCTTTTGTGTCTGAATCCGGATTGTGTTTCATCGATGATATTGTTTTCTTCTGCCCAAAGATTTAGTCTTGTATTTATTATTTTCTCTATAATTTTACCTGTACATGAAGTTAAAATGATTGGTCTCAAGGCTGCTTTTCCAGGTTTTTCCAGTAGACACATCCTACCCATTTTCCACTCTTTGGGTAGTGTCATTTGTTCCCAGGTCTCCTTTATAATGCAGCATAACAATTTTTTCATGAATGAAGACAATTCATTTATTATTATATAATCTATTTTGTCGTCGCTCGGGGCTGACGTTTTGTTCCTAAAACAATTGATAGTTGTTAGTATTTCAACATTATCTATTTTTTCATCCCATTTGGATGGTGAGGTGCTGATGTATCTATTTACATGTTCGTTTGTTTCTTTATGAGTGCTTTCCAAGTTACTGTTTCTTTCCACGAGTTTTGCTACTTCTATTTCTTCCAATTCCAACCTTTTTCTGGTGTTTAACGTCGATTTGTCCTTCATGTAGATATTCTTTATTCTTCTTACCTTGTTCCACAGTTTTCCACTGTTTTTTTCACTAGACAGCTCTTCTGTAAATGCAGTCCACGTAGCCTCCTTCTTTTCTTTTTTTAACTGTGACCATTTCATTCTGTTATATTCCATTATTGTATAGTCCTCGGGTTTACCCGTTCTCTATAACGTCTTCGAGCTTTTTTTCCATTTCTGCCATGCTTCTTCGCATTCTTGATTCCACCAGATATTTCTCTTCTTTCTATGGTCCTGACTTGAGTCCTCTTTATTTGTATTTTTCTTCCTTCTTTTATTGTTTATTTCTTCTGGTTGTGGTTTCTGGTTCTTTTTTTATTGTTTTTCCTATGCTGAGTCATTTCCTGAAAAGCTTCATATATATGATCACACCATCTTTGGTATTTATAATTGATGTTTGTTATACCTTCCCATTCTTGATTTATTACGGTTTTTTTCTCTTCTAGTTTTTGTCTGAACTCCATCCAGTTCACTCTTTCTTTGTTTTTATATAGTTTGCTGTTACCCAAATGTTTCTTGGACACGTCTGACTCCAAACCTACATTTTCGTTTGTATATAACCTGAGATTTATTATTTGGTGGTATTCGAATTGTTAAAACTTTTGTTATTCGTACTCCTCTAGGATTTCCTTTAAGTTCTTTCCTGAGATGTCTTGTGTTCCACAGTTCCACTCCGTATGCTTTGCATTTAAATCCCCTATTATTATTGAGTTGTCTTTTAATTCCAGATCCTCGAATAATTCTTTTCATTTTCCATAGCTCGCGTTTACTTTAGGATTTCTGTCTACAAAATTTATATCATAAATTTTGTTGTCATTCATATTCTTGATTGCGAACTTCATGTATTCGTATTAATTTTCTATGTTTTTTCTTTGGTTAATTCAATGTTTAGGTTATCTTTATATATAATTATCATACCTGTACCTGATGTGGTAAAGCTTTTATTATCCTTCCTGTTATTTTTATTATGTATAATGTTATACTCGTTGAATTTTTGAAATGTCCATTTGTACATCCAGGTTTCGTTTACACAAAATATATCGTAATCATCAACTATTCTTTTTAATTCGTTATACTTATTATTTAAGCTCCTAGCATTCCAAAAACCTAATCTTACATTATTGTGCATGTTCTCCTGTAATTTGTAAAATATTTTGTTTAGCAAGTTTATTTCTTTTGTAGCTAACAGTTAAGAGTTAGTAAAAATTTAGTATTTGTAGACCCTCCCATTCCTTTTCTGACATATATCCTACTTTTTCTTGGATTATATCTGACTCTTTCCCAGTATTCGCTTCTATGTCTTCTATCGATTCCTTCTGATGAATCGAGCCAGTCATTTTGGATATCCTGGATCTTACTTCTTCTTTGAACTCCTTATTATTTACTTTCCTGAAGTACATCTTTCTGTACCTGTCAGTTTGGTTTGAATTTCTGGATGATTTTATGAAACTAAGATCTTCGTCAAGCTCCTCCGTCCTCGTGGATTTGAAAGCCTCTTTGGGCAGGGAGTCCTCGAAGTTGACGTTCGTCCCGAATCTTCTTTGGGGATATCTGTTTTTTCTATTATAGTTATATCCTTCGTCGTGTAGGTCAATCCTTTTGGGGTGGTTAATTCTTCGATTTCTGTTAATTTTTTCAATAACCATATCTTCCATCTTCTCTTGGTGTATCCAGTCCAGTAATAGGTTTATATCTTCTTCTGTCAGTGGTCTTCTACCCTTGTGCATTGGTTTTGCTCTTATATTTTCGTATCTTTTATTTACTTCTTCTTCCTCTGCTTGAGCCATGGGGATGAAGGATTCATGTCTGTTTTTATGGTAATCCTCTATCGAGTGCAGATTTTCATATCTATTTTTTGATTCAAATGTTGACTGTTTAATTTCCTGGTTTCTGTTCCATCTGCCCTTGTTTATTGGAACAGATAAGTTTTCCCATCTTTCGGTTTCCTTGTATGAGTTCTTTCTTTTTGGTTAAAGCTTTGGGAAGTTCAGATCGTCCACTCTCAGGCTCTCTATCTCTCTATCATCTTTCCTGGATTTATCGAATATTCCCAGTTCCATTTTTGCTAATTGTCTTGCCTCGAGGAGGCTTAAATTTTTGTAGGCCATTAATCTTTCTGCTTAATGCTTAGTGTTCGCCCCTGCAGTTCACACATTGCAGTTTCCTATCGCAGTTACCATGGTAAACATCCCCACATATAAAACACATTTTCACTTCTCTTCTGCATTTTTGTCTGAAGTGCCCGTATTGCAGGCAATTGAAACACTGTTTTACCGCCTTGACGTATGGGGTTATCTTTAGGCTTATGACACCGTCATATATGCTTAACCTCGTTGGGAGCGAGTCTCCTGCAAATTTTAGTAAAATCATACCAGTCTCTTTGTAGTCCATTCCTTTTTCTGTTGTGACGCCTTTCGGCTGAGATTAGTCCTTGTCCCTCCTCTGCTTCCTGGATGAGTTCGGCTGGTGAGAATTCCCATTTCCTCGTGACACCTCATCTTTCCTGCGCCCTGAATGGGATGCGGAATTCCATGCTATCTTTATTTCTGCTTTGTAGTTCCTTTACTATTGTTTTGCCTCTGTGTGGATCTTTGAATTTTATTTCTGCTCCTCTATATGTAATCATTCTAATTGATTCGATCTGTGAATTAAATGTGTATGTTTTTGAAAATTCTTATATAGTTAACTTTTTTGATTTTTGACGCTGCTTTGAAATCATTCACAGAATTTGAGGTATTCGTCCTCTCTGGAATTTACCTCCTCCTCATCTTGGTCGACTTTGTAGAGTTCAGTTAGTTTGATGCTCTTACCTGAATTCGTTGTTATTACCGCTTGGACACGTGCGTCTTTATATCCCTTATTCTCTTGGAGACTATTGGTATTATAATTATTATTTTTCTCTCTAACTTCCTTTTCTATGGACCTTTTCCCTATATTCTCTTTCCTATCCACTGTTTCACTTCCTACGTATTTCTTTACATTTTTTTATCTGACCTCGTGCTTATGCGTCGCTATTTCATTTGATCTGTTGCTTTGTTCTACTCTTCTCCTTCTCTGGATTTCCGCCCACTCTTCCTCGCTTTCCGTTACATCCGGCGATCTGTCCACCACCTTCCTATGATCTCCTCCACTCTTGTATTGACCAGTCTAGGGAATTCTCTATGCCCGCCATGATTTCTTTGTTTATGCCCCTTCCACTGGGCTGCCCCTCCCTTATTCCCCCGGAGAGAGAAGCACTTTCCCCGGGAGAGGAGCTGGTTTTCCTCACTACTTACACTTGCGCTTTTCTTTCTCCTCTTGCACTCTCCCACTCCTGTCACTACACAGCGACCCACTTACTTCCTGGTTTCGGTCCTATATACCACTTTTCCGACACAAAATCACCATTCGTCTCCCATTCGTCTCCCAATTCATTTCGCCGGCGCCATGATCGGAAGTCCCGCCTCAGAGCATATATAGCATATTATATTCGGAGGTATTTTAAATTTATGCTAATGTATCATCATCTACTGCAAAGCCCCTAAATGCCTAGGGAAATAGCTTTTCTTGTTAGTATTAGACGAGGTCATTAGTTTTTGCTTATTTTTATTAATAGATTTTTTTAGTCTATTTTACTGTGTCTATTAATAAATTTATAATTATACGACAAGAATGATTTTATTAAAATTCAGTTAAGAAAACAGTTCTTAATATTAAGATGTATCCTTCGAGCAATGAAATTTCAAAGAAACCTATTGTGTTATCTAGTAGTGGGAATGCCATTTATTCTTCTACAAACTTTGATATTTCGTCATAGATAGCACTTCATCCCTTTTATAGAGTTGAGTACCTGTCGAAAAAATAATTTCATACTAACTTTAGTCTACGTATTCAAGAATTGAAAAAAGTACAAAATGTCCTTTGAAATATATATAAAATATTCTGTAAGTAGAAAAACATTACATACATTCTTCTCTGTAAAAAAAATCTCAGGGGCGTGTTGTAATTTTTGTATATAAAAATATCTTAAATTAACAAAGTTACGGCGTCGCTATTGCTTACATGAGTATTCCGTGGTGACCACACTGTTTCAGAGCTTTAAAAATCAAGCATTTTTTAAAAATATATTAAATTATTTAAGTGCTATCGAACAGCATGTTTGAACAAATAATTTTACTCAAAATGCCAGCGATTCAAATTTGCATCTACGATTTTTAGCACTGAAGAACGCCCATTTTTCACGTATAAAAAAACTAGAGTAAAAAAATAATAAATCGTCTCGATTGTACTTAGATAATTGAATATATTATTAACAAATGCTTGAGTTTTGAATTTCAAATAACCCAGTTTTCAGGTAGAACGGTCACCGCGAAAACATTTACTCGTGCAAAAGTACGATAACACCGTAACATTGTTAATTTAAGATATTTTTAAATACAAAAAATGCCAACACATGTATTAAAAACCATTCTTTTGAATACCCTACACAGCTTGTTATAATAGAATTTTCTGTTTGTCGCCAAAAAATTCGTAAATCTGCTTCTTGTTTCGGACCGTCCTAGGTAGGCTTCACCCTTAAGTGTTAAAGACAGTTTCCTTCTTCGGCGACTTCCCTTTCATGGTTCAGCCAACCTGGACCAAAGGCTGCTCGAGAGATTCGGTCTCGATTATCTCTGGTGGCCGCCTATAATTAAACCACGATTCGATTCGGTGGCTTCGTCCACGATAAATCGCCTCGACGTCGATTCTCCGACGAATCTGACGAATCCTCTGGGATTCGTCAGGCAATGTTGGGAGGGGGACGAGACGTCGAGACCGAGGACAGTGCCATCGATGTACTGGCTGTATCATCGAGCTAACGTCTGGCTGGTCTTTTGCAAGGGGTCGAGGGTCAGGTCTTCGAACATAATCGTCCACACGCCAGTCAGTAGCACCGCGGATTCTGGTACCACGCGACGCCGATTTCCCATAATACAGAAGTCGCAAAGTTAACCACTCGACACGAAACGTTTCGTGGATTCTCTTCCGGTTTTGTTCGTTTTTCTCTACGGGAAATCGGAAATCGTGACGATCATGACCGTGAACACGTTCGATCTCATGGACATCCTCGGGTTCTCGATCCTATTCCACTTCAGCGTTAGCCTGCTGCTGTTGGTCGTCTTGGTGCCGGTGTTTCTTCTCGTATATCCGGGTAAATATTTTCGAGGGACGTTCTTCGGACAGTTAGTTCAATCGTCGGGCGCAGCCAATACCAAATACTTTGTTATCATTAGGGTGTCTCTAGAAAACATTCCGGGTTTCGGTGACTTGATTTATTAAGGAGTAAACGATCATTTGCATCTGGATTTATTAATTTTTCCGGAGTTCTGTTCTTTGTTATTGTTGGGTGGCGCCAGAAAGAATTACGTATTTGAAAGTCACGATTTATTAACTTCTCCAGTGTTTCGTTCATTTTTCTTTGCGTGACAACAAGTATTCACGTGTATCAAGATATTTGAGGATCGATAAATGTAATTGTAATGTTTTGTTATTATTTTGAGGTCATAGAAAGTATTGTGCATTTGAAAGTGCTGATTTATTAACTTTATCGAACTGAATACTGTTTTTTTTTTTTTAAGGGTGGTTGAAAAATATTTATCGTATACTTCAAATTATTCAAAGTTTAAATCATAATAAATTCGAAAATTACAATAAACTCGTTGGTTAATCCGAAATACTTCATCGTTACTAAGAAAACCTTGATTAATGAACCTTCTCGCATTCCTGGATTTTTTCTTTGAAAAAAATATTCTTTCCATGCTCCGAATTGTTTGGAGTTCAATAATTTAATTGGAAAATTATATACGCGAAGTTCAGTAATTAAAACTAATTTATTTATCGTCTTGTTTCCAGTGCAAAAATTTGATCAAGTTTGAACAGAATATAATTAAATCCATACAAATATAATTTAATATATAAAAATATACCAAAATATATTATTTACAATTTAATCAATGTATTACTTTTTTTTGTGTATTAAACATGACACATGCCATTTTTAACAGCGTGTCATTGTGGAGGAACTATTATCTTCCCAGATAGCACCGGACGTCCCATGGACGTCCATTTTATGTCCAGTTTACGTCCAAACGTCCGACGTCCGTTGTTGGACGTCCTTAGGATATCCATGGGATTTAAATTTTGTACGTCCAGGAATGTCCGCTCTGAACTTTCTAGATTTAGGGAAAAATACTTTTTTTTAGACAAAGTAAATATTATTTATTAATATTATTTATAATATATAATTTATTCACTATGTAGAACAGAATATTTTTTTTCCGAATATAAAATACACTACTTACAATTGTAAATTAATTAATATTATTATCCCAGATAGCACCGAACGTCCCATGGACGTACAGAGAACGTACAGAAAACGTTCTGGGAATGTCCAGCACCGGACGTCCCATGGACGTACAAAAGACGTTCCTGTTCCTGTGCTACCTGGGTATACAGTCGTTATTTAATATTCGCAACAGAATATTTTTTTCCATAAATAAAACACATATTTATCTAATATTCGCAACAGAATATATGTGTGCACATGTAAAACAAAATGTTTATTCAATATTAGGAATGCAATATTTTTTGTACATATGAGATGTGATATGTATGTAATATTTGGAACTAATCAGAATTACCTAGTAAATTAATTCTTCTAACTTTTCAAAAAAAAGTTCAAGTCATTTAGACCAATTTCAAGAGAAGGAATTGTATTTTAAAAAGTATCCGAATATTAATACGAGTCACTATATAAGCCTAAAATATAAGTCGGTTTAGGAAAGTCGTTTATGGGTAAGTGAGGAAGCAGGTTGCGGTTGTAGTTCGAAAATCATCAGTTCGAATCCCGCCGGAGGTAAATAAAAATTGAAAGATTTTTGTTCGTCGTTTTCATGGAATCCAGTTTACAAGAAATAAATATATTTAACTAAAATCTACCAACAAATAAAAGAAAATATATAAAATTAAAATTTAATTTTTGATTAAATCTCAATTTTACAGAGAACGTTCTGAGAATGTCCACATCGGACGTCCCAGGGACGTACGTAGAATGTCCACGCCAGACGTCCCAGGAACGTCCTGCGATGTAACTGGGACCTTCCAGGGACGTTCACAGGACGTTCAGGCGACGTTTGGACGTTATCTGGGCGTCCATAGGACGTCCCGAACGTCCAGTACCGGACGTCTTATGGACGTACATAAGACGTCCCTGTGCTATCTGGGTTTTGACAGATGTCATCGAAAACATTTAGAGAGAAGTCGATATAGAGGTATGCGACGTTTATTATTTTAAGAAATTAATTACTTCGTATTAAAAATTAATTTGAACGTCCACGTGCGCTACTATGGGCCTGAAGAGGTTAAGAGATAACCACGCCAAAACATAATTTCACAGTGCAATCAGGGAGTGATACTCATGGAGGTAGTTGCCTCTCCCCCGTATGAAAGAAATAACAAAGATACTTCTTGACATTTGCCAAATATAAACGAATTTTAAAGAACCTTATATTGACTCCTTCTATTTGAAATTTCTGGTGCCACTGTATGATTCGCGACTTTCTGTCATAATTCTGAAAGGAATTCCATTTCTCTGCAAGTCTTCATTTTCAGGACGAAAAAACATTCTATCAAAAGAGAACTGAATCATTGCTAGAAGAAGGTTATGGACAGAGCAAAGTCTGGGTTATGAACAATAAATTCACCGAACACATTACAGTTTTATTTATAGAATCACAGTTTTCTTTCTAGAAATGACGCAAAAGCTTTCTTTCAGAACTCATTCCAAGAAAAAGAAATTCAGAACAAAATGAACCATGGAAACTCAAACAAATGCATAATAATATTGTTTATATATTAATAATCAGCATAATAGGAGTTTAATACAAAAATAATTTTTATTTAGATTTTTAAAATAAAATGGCAATGCAAGAACCATTACACGACAAATCTGTTTCGAATTATTCTACTCGGCAGCGTAGCGGGTCTCTCAGGTATGGTGAGACAATGAAAAACCAAGTATTTTCATTTTCTACATATTATGTATAGACTGTGGAAATACATACGCATTTTTAAAAAATCAAGTTTCGCAAGA